AATTCTAACATTAATAATTCGTTAAAATTAAAATTCGGAAAAATAATAATTAGAAAATTTAGAAATTATGAGAAATGATTATTCGGTAAAATGAAAATTATATAAAATAGCAAATCGTAACTTTAAAAAATAGAAAAAGTATAAATTTGGTAAATTACATTATAGGACAAATAATTATTGTTCGAAAAAATATTTATTATACAAAATGGTAATTCGAAGAAACAAAAATTATAAAAAAAGGTAATTATGTAAAATCCAAAATAGTATAAACAGGTTTTTGGAAAAATAAAAATTATGAAAAATACTAATTCTCTACAATAATAATTATGAGAAATGATTACTCGGTAAATTGAAAATTATAAAAAATGTTCTTTCGAAGTTAAAAAATTCTGTCAAATAATAATTCGAAAGTATTTTTATTATATAATCTGACGATTCGAATTGACCCCTATTGAAAATCCCCACATGGGAAACCACATGGGAAACCACATGGGATCCTATGTCAAAAACTATGTAAAACCCCATTCCCCATATGGGAAACCACATGGGATCCCATATAAAAACTCATGGGAAATTGGGACAGGAATTGTCATAGGAAAATATCAAAACGAGGTTCCTCCATGTCATTTCCTATGTCAAATCCTATGTCAAATATCATGTTAAATACCATGTTAAATACTAATTGAGATCCTTTATCACTTTTCTGACAAATTTTCCCATGTCAAACCCCATGTCATTTCCCAAGTAAAAACCTTTATCATTTTTTTGAAAAATTTTCCAATGTCATTTCCCATGTGAAATCTTTTATCATTTTTTTGAAAAATTTTCCCATGTCAAATCCTCTTTCGCCTTATCGAAAATACCCACATAGGAAAGCATATGGGAATCCACATGGGACACCATATGGGAATCCATATGGGAAATGGAATACGATTTCATGTGCATTCTTCCAAATGATAAAACAAATAGATTTAAGCATAGGAAATCATATAAGATTTCATATAGATTCTGAAATTTCAACCTAAGATTTCACATGGATTTACATATAGGAAACGATATAGGATTTTATTCGGGAATTTTTTAGTTGGCTGCTTTATGCAGGCGGCAGATTACAAAAAAATTAATTATTTGATTAAATATCAAATAATAATACTTCAACTCATCTGAAAATAAAAAAAAGTTTACTTTACTTCTGCCTTAGACTCTCAGCTTTTATAGTATTTCAGACTGATCTCAACTGTGAGAGAAAATATTTTCACCATCTGGTGGTGAAACAATGAAACTATAATGACGATCAACATCTATATTGAAATTTCCTATGTCATTTCCCATGTCATTTCCCATGTGAAATCCTCTTTCATTTATTCGAACAATTTTCCCATGTCATTTCCCATGTGAATTCCTTTATCATTTTTTTTCAAAAAAATTTCCCATGTCATTTCCCATGTGAAATCTTTTATTATTTTTTGGAAAAATTTTCCCATATCAATTCCCACGTCAAACCTCATGTCATTTGCCATGTGAAATCCTTTATCGTATTCCATTTCCTCTGTGGATTCCCATATGCTTTCCCATGTGGGTATTTTCGATAGGGCGAAAGAGGATTTGTCATTGGAAAATTTGTCAAAAAAATGATGAAGGATTTCACATGGGAAATGACATGGGAAAATTTTTCGAAAAAATGATATAAGATTTCACATGGGATATGACATGGGAAAATTTTTCGAATAAATGAAAGAGGATTTCACATGGGAAATGACATAGGAAATTTCAATATAGATGTTGATCGTCATTATAGTTTCATTGTTTCACCACCAGATGGTGAAAATATTTTCTCTCACAGTTGAGATCAGTCTGGAATACTATAAAAGCTGAGAGTCTAAGGCAGAAGTAAAGTAAACTTTTTTTTATTTTCAGATGAATTGAAGTATTATTATTTTATATTTAATCAAATAATTAATTTTTTTGTAATCTGCCGCCTGCATAAAGCAGCCAACTAAAAAATTCCCGAATAAAATCCTATATCGTTTCCTATATGTAAATCCATGTGAAATCTTAGGTTGAAATTTCAGAATCTATATGAAATCTTATATGATTTCCTATGCTTAAATCTATTTGTTTTATCATTTGGAAGAATGCACATGAAATCGTATTCCATTTCCCATATGGATTCCCATATGGTGTCCCATGTGGATTCCCATATGCTTTCCTATGTGGGTATTTTCGATAAGGCGAAAGAGGATTTGACATGGGAAAATTTTTCAAAAAAATGATAAAAGATTTCACATGGGAAATGACATTGGAAAATTTTTCAAAAAAATGATAAAAGATTTCACATGGGAAATGACATTGGAAAATTTTTCAAAAAAATGATAAAGGTTTTTACTTGGGAAATGACATGGGGTTTGACATGGGAAAATTTGTCAAAAAAGTGATAAAGGATCTCAATTAGTATTTAACATGGTATTTAACATGATATTTGACATGGGATTTGACATAGGAAATGACATGGAGGAACCTCGTTTTGATATTTTCCTATGCCAATACCTGTCCCAATTTCCCATGAGTTTTTATATGGGATCTCATGTGGTTTCCCATATGGGGAATGGGGTTTTACATGGTTTTTGACATAGGATCCCATGTGGTTTCCCATGTGGGGATTTTCAATAGGGACACACATGAATCTTCCTCATGTTCCAGAAAGCCTTTATCTCCACGTGTCTTGATATTGCATTTTCCTTTCCGGGTAAACGTTCGCCCCTACGGCAATATGCATACAAAAATGGGGAAGGTTTGAAACCACCCTATCGTGAAAAACTGACATAAAATTTGCTAACATGTAGATTAGTAATTCTCATTCAAATACGTAATATATATAAACTCATGTAACGCACCGAGAGATAAAGTGGAGGATTTTATCTAGTCCTAAGAGAATAAAACGACTGTACCATACTCCCTGCCATGATTATCTTGTTTCATTTATTTCCATTTTTTCACAGAAAGTTTTCGCTGTAAATTTTTGTTTAAAACTATTACTAAAATCGAGGGGAAATTTACTAGTAAAAATTGTGTACACTTGACTACAACTACACATATTACCATTATTACCTTAGTATTACACTTTTCACAAGTATTACATACTACTACCAAAATATTACTGTATTACAAAGTTTTACACATATATTACTTAGTATTACCCTTTATTACAAAAAATATTACACGTCAAATAGCACTTTCTTATACGTAGAACTTTCAATAAAATTCCCAAGTAGCATGATATATCAACCAGATGTCACGGTGATATCACCGGGGAATGGCACCGTGACATCAGGAAAATGTCAAAATGTCCGCCTTATGGTGATATCACACGGTGACATCGAGGTGATATCTTGGTGACATCAAGGTGATATCACAGTGATATCACAGTCATATCACGGTGATATCATGGTGATATCACTATGATATCACCGTGATAACATGTTGATATTTTACAGGGATTTAAAATTTTTAATAATTTAAAAAATAATAATAAATGAAAAAAATAATAAAAATAATAAAAAATATATTATATTTTTTTAAAAATTTTAAATCCCTGTAAAATATCAACATAATATCACGGTGATATCACCATGATATCACCGTGATATGACTGTGATATCACCTTGATGTCACCATGACATTTTCCTGATGTCACGGTGACATTCCCCGGTGATATCACCGTGGCATCTAATTGATATATCGTGCTACTTGGGTTATTATTTAAGAGCAAAACTTTAAAATAAGAAATAGAAAAATAAATAATTAATTATTTTTAAATATTAGGGTAAGTACATCAATTACGACGAGAGCATCAATTACGGCGCCTTCATAAAAAATAACTATTATTACTATTATATTTAATATAACTGTTGCAAAATGATTAAAAAAAATTATTTTAATCTTTTTTTGATACAATTACTAATGAAGATGCACATTTAAACAATAATTTATTAATTAAATTATTTGAGATCAAATTTTTTTTCTCGTCGTAATTGAAACATTTTTAATATTTCCATTGGCTCTAATTTCGGAGGGAAAAGTATCTTCAAAATACACGTAATTTTTGTCACCGAAACTGATACAATAAACGCGCCGCAATAGAAAATTTCGGTATTAGTTTTAATTTCTCATATTTGTTTAAATAATCGATTTTTATAAAGTTAAACATTTTCTTAACATCTAAATAACGTAACCTCTTAGTTTAATAAGTCTTAAATTGAGTTTATACAATAGAAATGTCGAATTTTCTATTTCAAAGGTGTTTTGACTCGAATCGCGCCGCAATTAGTGCATTTACCCTACTTATAAAAGAAAATAATTTTCTCTTTTTTAAAACGTAAATAACTATTATTTCAAATGTTTTGAAATTTCTTTTAAAGAACACGATAAATATAACTTATTTGTTTTTATTCATTTCTCTCAATTAGATATAATAACACATAATTGTTTTAAAAAATTTTTTAATTGTTTTGAAAATAATGCATAATAATTAATTTTTATTAAAAAACATTATAATTATAAACATAAAAGCAATAAATTGAATAAAATAGTTTTATTAACTTACATTTTTTTTATTTTTTAGTAAACAATAAAAGAATTGTAAGTTTTTTGAACTATTTTTTATGATAAAGTATTTTAAATAAAACCGCCTTATTTTTCTTCTCTAATGAAAGCATTGTATTAGCGCAAGAGCCATATTTTTTTCAATACAAAATAAAATTTTTTCTTTTTCTATGTGAAAATAAAAAATTGATATACAAAACTATAGAATGACACATTATTTGACTAATGATACACACAAATAAGTATAGGTAAGTGTAATAGTAATAAAATAAAAAGTACACTCAAGTAGTAATTTTCACGAGTTTCGAATATTTTTCCCGTTTGAGTATAAGGGCGCAGTCACACTGGACGCTTGCAGACGCTTGTTGGAGGCCCTAGAAATGTAAAAATATCCATACCTTATTTTTCATGACCTTTTGCATTGAATTAAAAGTAATATTTCTTCTTTGAAGTAAACGACATGATTGACACTTTCTAAATTTGAATCAGTAAATTGATTGAAAACTCGCCTTGTTTCATTTAATATTAATCCACATTATCTGCAAAACAAGATAAATTTATACTACTTCTCTTTATCAAAATCTATAATATATTTGTACTCAACTCTTCATAAATAATGTATTTAAATATATCTTATAATTAAAATGGAAGATAAGAAAAATCAGTAAATCGATTGAAAATTATTTCAGTCACAAATGAAAGTAGGTACTCGTAAAAGACATAAGTATAATCTTTTTATGATGGTGGTAATGATCTTCTTTCTGTTAAATGAACAGTTTCGTGCTTGATACAAGACTGAAAACTCTCCGAGACATGGAAGTTTAAAAACATTTATTATTAATGTATTCCCTTGTATGAAACGTTTAGTTTTAAGATAATTACTCGACACATAATTATTCTTCAAGACAGTAATTTTCTATTCCTTGAACTATCAGTAATATTCCTATAGTATCTATAGAATATAATAACCCAGTGTGTAGATGGTATCGACCTCTTTGCAAATTTTGTTTTCACATGAATATTTTTCATAATGAGATTTATACCTCCAGTCTCTATACTACATCTTCCATAGGAAACTTTAACTTCTGATTAAAGTTCTCCATCTATTCTTTTTTCACATTACATCATTTATGCTAAAGAATACCAAATATTTTTATACTGTTTAAAATTATAATATACACTTGTTAATAAATTGAATAATAATTTTTTGAACTTGCTTGGTCATATATTGGGGTACAAAAGTTCCAAACCAAAAGTTCTAATACCTAACGGCCCAAAGTATTATTTTCCCCAAACGCAATTTTTCTAAAAATTCCTTTCTCCAAAGTATTGTTTTTTCAATAGTTGTTTTTTCCAAACATTGTTTTCATTTATTTTTCAAATTTCGAAGTGCAACTTTAAGTAAGGAAACTTTCATTTATTGTTATTTTCAGTATACTTTAACACACAGATAAACGATTGGTTGCTGTTACCATTTCGTTAGTAAGAGTATTTTTGCTAATTTATATTAGTTACTGTTACCACTTAGTTAGTCAGACTAATCATTTGATTAGTAAGATAACTACTTAAATAGCTATTCCAACAAACTAATTAGTTAAAATAACTAATAAAATAGTTATGCCAACCAATAAAAATAGTAACCACAGCTAATAAATTAGCAGAAGTATAGTTTTCTAACTGAAAATGGTCACCTTAAAAATGGTAACCCCAACCAATCTTTTCTCTCAGGCAATCGTTTGTTTTTTTTCGAAATTATAGTGACATAAAATTTTTTAGTTAAATTGTAAATAGTATAACAGTAAAAAAAATAGAGAAGTAAATAATAAATATGGCAGAATTAATACAACTTAGAAATAGTTATTTATGTTACAAGTGCATAAAGTGAGTGATTATACGAGTGTGAGGCTTCGCCTCGTGCTGCAAACGTCACACTCGTATAATCACATATAAGCACGTGTACACGGAAAGAAATTTAGTAGCAATATTTGATAAATCTGATAGGAAATTTTAGTATTTTCTTTTTCAAACGCGGAACATTTGGGTTTGATAACGAAAATCGGTATATTTTTACCAATAGTCTTTTTAGAAAATATATTTCAGAAATTGAAATTATTATTTCGTAAATTGATAAATTTATACGAAAAACCAGAAGTAAGTTAAACCGACGCGCACTTCGTTATTTACTAAATTTATATGAAAATTTGGAAACATTATTTCGAAATTTGTTAAAACTATACTAAAAATTCGAAGTGGTTCAGTCGTGACAGATGACGACAGAAACACCAATAGATTCTACGCCAAAGTTTTATCTCTTTCTTATCTCGAGGATAGACGAGGATATGAACTTTTAAATGCACACACACACATACACCGCATTGTTTTACATCGATTGGCTTATTTTTATTCCTAACCTACACTAACGATAATACGTATAACATTCGCAGAATAACGCTTCATATACAAATTTATGCTCATGTGAAAAACTGATGTGACCATTCTTATATACTAATCAGACATATTTTTCACCGCTTATGAGAAAGGTGAAATTATATCAAAACATGTTTAAATATATAAATAAAAATCATTATTTATTGGGAAATAATTATATATTTTATTATTTTTTGAAGAACAATTTTTTTACTGATTTATTGTAAAATCTTCGAAATTAATTATATAAAAGAAATTCAGGTCTGTATCAAGATAATGGTAAAAGGGGGCTTGTCTAAAGAGCTTCGTCAGTCTTCGTTACCACTCGGTGAGGATCGGGCAATTTCGAACGTACAACTTCGGCAAATTTCGTCGAATCTCATTAACTTTGATATTTCTTTTTCAATTTTCATATCAAATATATCAAAATCTCAAATAATTATATCATTTTATACAATTCTAATTACGAAATTTGAAATATTTTGTTAGAAGAATTGATAAAGAGCTTATTAAAATTTCACATTTTTGTGTTTCAATAAAAAGATTTCAGATTTCGTAAATATTATATCAAATTTTCTTTCCAACTATATTAAATATTCTTATTTTAATCTCAATCATTCTTAAAAATAGTATCGAAAATCGTTATCATGTCAAAATGTTCCGCAATTGTAATCAAATATACTAAAAAGTAACACCATAATATCAAATATTGCTACAAACTTTCTTTCCGTGTATCCCTACTGAAAATTCTCATGTAGGATCTTATATAGGATCTCACATAAAATCATATACTAAAATCCACATAAAATCCTATGTGTCATGTAAGAAACTATAAAAGATCTTATGAAAAATCATATAGGAAATTGAGACATGATTTGAAGTGGGATTCGATGTAAATTCTTATAAACGTATTTTTAAGTAATAAATTATATAAATTCCTATGTGAAATCATACAATTTTTTCTGGTCCTATTTTTTCCTTCAATTTCTTATGTCAATTTCCTTCGTGTTTTCTCATTAAAAAACATACTAAAATTCATTGCTCAATCCTTAACCAGAAATTTTCCTATATCAAATCATACATCAAATCTTTTTTCGATTCTTGAATAAAAAAGTATTACAAAAAATCTGACATGAAATCATATTAAAAATCCTCACGTGAGATCATATATATGATTGATTTGAAAATAAGAAATAATATAGGATTTCATGTAGATTCTGAAATATCTATATCTAAGATTTCACATAGAATTATATAAAGGAAACAATATAGGATTTCATATAGGAATTTTTCAATCTCAACTGTGAGAAAAAAATTATCACCATCTGGCGGCGTAAGAGTGGAACTATGATGATCTACATCTATATTGGAATTTCCCATATAATTTCCTATTTAATTTCCTACATAATTTCTCATATAATTTCCAACTTGGTATCTTTGATGGACAAATAAAACAGTGAAATCCACACATGACATCCCACATAAATTCCTGCACTGTAAAAAAGGAGTTGAATCTCAACTCCCCATGGGATGCTATAAAATTCCCACCCATTGAGGAGTTATAGCAAAGGGAGTTCAGATTAGGGAGTTCAACTTTAACTCCTTACACGAGTTGGAGAATATGATCCTCCATTATAAAATAACTCAAAAGAGAGTTGATACTGAACTCCCTAACCTGAACTCCCTTCCAGTCTTGGTTAACTCCTTTTTCGAGTTGATTTTTAACTCGATAAATCAAACTCCAAACTCCTAGTGCCGTTAACTCCCTAAATTTTTTACAGTGTATATGATTAATTCTTGCATAAGATCCTCTGTAGGATCCTATATAGGATTTTATGTATGATCCTACATATATAAGATCATACATAAGATTTTACATGGATTTTTATATATATTCTTGTATGATGAATTCTTACATGAGATCATATATAGGAATCCATGTAAAATCTTATATATGATCTTATATTTTATATAGGAAAATTCCTGGTTAAGGATTGAGCAATGAATTTTAGTATGTTTTTTAATGAGAAAACACGAAGGAAATTGACATAAGAAATTGAAGGAAAAAATAGGACCAGAAAAAATTGTACCCAGTTGAAAATTCCGACCACGTTTACGACGTCGTATTCTAAGTAGTTTGCGACGTAGTAAACGACGTAGTAAACGACGTAGAAAACGACATAGTAAACGACGTCGTAAATGAAAGCGGAATTTGGGATAGCAAACTACGTCGTTTACGATGTCGTTTACTACGTCGTTTACGATGTTGCAAAAATTATTTTAATATTATTTATTTAGTAATTTAGTAAGTCCAATATCCAATATTAAAAATTTTAATAATAATTTAAAAAAAAATTTATTTTTATTATTTTTTAATAGTTATTATTATTATTTTATTTTTAATATTTTAATTAAAATAAAAAAATGGTCATCAAAATATTAGTGAAACCATTTCTTCCAAAAAAGAATTTGTCTCAAATCCAATAAAGGAGAGACATCGGGCAGAAAAAAATTTCGACAAAAAAAAAATTTTCGATCACTGCTTATATACCAATCTAATAGCACCTCAACTGCGAGAAACAGTTATGATGTTCGCCCTCCCTGTGGCGTTGAGCGAACTTAAGTCCAGAGCTGAGCCATCAGCGCAGCGCGGAAACATTTGAAAAATTTGATTTTATTAGATATTTTATTTTATTTTAAATATGACAAATAATTAACTTAATAAATAATTAATGTCATAAATAATTATTAATAACATAATGTCATACTTAATAATTCGTTAATTAATTATTTTTAACGAAAATTTGACAAAAAAAAAATTTGTTGGCCAAAAAAAATATTACCATTAAAAAATAATTTTTTTGTTAAATTTTCGTAGTAAAAAAAATTTTTTTAAGACAATTATTTGTGACCTAAAAAAATATCACGATGAGAATATAATTAACAAAAAAAATTACTCGTAGCACAGAAAAAATTTCACCATGAGAAAATAATTTTTTTAAAATTTTATTTGTAAAAAATTTATTGGTAGCTCAAAAAAAATATCACGATGAGAAAATAATTTTTTGTCAAATTTTCTCTGTAAATAAATTAATTAACTAAATAACGTACC